CTAAATTCAAGGTGGCCTGAGACCACGGTTTACTGCCCTGAAACACTCTGTTCAGGCCACCTTGAAAAGAAAGGTGTAGTTGGCACCTTGCTTGCAGCTACCAGGTATAGTACTTGAAGTTCCCTTTCCGTCAACCGCTCGATAGCCTCTACACACGCACAGCAATCCACAGCTTTGAAGTCTCATTCGTGCTTTGAACTTGTGTAGGTGTGTAAGAGGTCTCACGGCCGCCTCCACCTGGCAAATGCCAAGCGGAGCTGCCGTAGAGAAATGAAAGAAAATGGAGTGGGATGGTGGATCTAGGGTGCAGACCTACCTTTCTATCCTATGCTTCGACGCGCAGTTCTCGAGAAAGGGAAGCGCTGGCTTTCGTTTTGCAGCTTCTCAGGTAGTATGTTGCTATACCTCTTACACACCTATACAAGTTCAAAGCACGAATGAGACTTCAAGGCTGTGGCTTGCTGTGCGTGTGTAGAGGTTCTCAAGCGGTTGACGGAAAGGGAACTTGAAGTACTATACCTGGTAGCTGCACTATAGCTACCCTAGGTCTCTCTACCTTGCAAGGTGCCAACTACACCTTTCCATTCAGATGATGCAAATGATGCATTTGGCATTTCTTGCATCACCACCCCTCAAAAATCACCTCCAACACAACCTCAAAAAACCTTCCCTCGGAGCACCCTCCTCCCCCAGCATGTGCTGAGTTGACGTGTCCCTTTCTCGGGCCAGCCCCCCAGACCCCCTAACTACTCACTTCGTTCGCCAGACACAACTCCGCTAGCGCCTTCTACGAAGGCTGGCTTTCGTAATGTATATTGGTTTTGGCGAGGGCCAGGTCCATCCAACAACTACATCAGTCCCACGACTTGCAGAACTGAGTCAGTGTGCTCCTGGCCTTTCCTTGCAGATACCGGGGGGGTGGTTACAACACAGTTAGGAGGGAAACGACCCAGGCCAATTTGGACCATTCCTCTGTTGCCCTTTGCTCCGGTTCTTCCCAGGCCCCCAAAGACTTGGCGGCCCCTGCTGGTGCGTTCCGTAACATTGGAGCTCGGGGCCATGGGTGCCTGCGAGGGTAAACTGCTTCAACGCATCCACTGGCAAACATCACCCCTATCCTGAAAGACTAAAAGTAAATCGCAATGCAAAACATTTCGAGATGGTGTTCAGCGCCTCTAGGGAGAAACAACTCCCTCCCAATATTCAGCTGACACTGGGCCACTCTTAACTTAAAGGAAATCCTTAATTCTCAAACTGGAAAATGAAAACTAGCCAGATCTAGCCAGCATAGGGCCGTGGGTCAAAGCCCGTGATTGACCACCGGACATAGACGACATGGACAAATGATGCCAATTGGACTACCAAACTAAACTACGGTGATTTTGAGGCTCCACGTTTG